ATATAAATAAATACTCACTGACTGGTATTTTGGCTATTTATTTAACAAATTCTAAGAACGCATTTTAAAATATATCATGAATTAAAAAAAAAAAACAAGCTTCTTGCTCTATTTTAAAAATATGAAACAAAAATATTTAAAAACTGATGCTTTAGATTAATATTAAATTATAGATCAATTCTGAATAATATTTCTATAAATATTATTAAAATATTGTTTTGTATAAATTTTTTTGGATATTATTTTAGATTTGGTTTCTTGAGGTTTCAAATATTGTGGAAAGCCAATCTTGTTAAAGGGGTCATATGATGTTGCTAAAAAGAACATTATTTTGTGTATTTGGTGTAATGAAATGTGTTTATCGGCGGGCTTGAGAACGGCGTGCGGCCGGCAGATTCAAAGAAGGAGCGGCGGGCGGGCTTGCGGCAACCACGTGACGACCCCGGGCTGGACTCCGCTTCATCCACGGTGAAAGCCGATCCGGCGATCCACAGCATGAAGTTGATGTATTTCCTCAGCGACCAGCACGGATCAGCTCTAGGCATGACAAAGCGGATATCGTCCTCTTTTGGAAGACCAAACAAACGAAACGCTTTCACAACGAAACACACAGTGCCTTCACGACATGGCGGCGCGGCAACAATACTACAGCGAGAATAAAAGTTACACCTTCTTTCTTTGCGTGAACATTTGGGCGGCGTTATGCAAATCTTCCCACATAGTGACATAGGTATGTGGGGGCGGGTTCGAACAAGCCGTTTTAGGTAGGTGTGGCTAACTCTTAACTTTTATAAAGAATATCTCTTTGGATTTGAGACTTTAGTCTTTGCAACTTTACAGATCTTCTTTATGCACCAAGAGCTTGTAACACTCCAAAGAGAAAGAAAAAATTGAAATCGCATTATATGACCCTTTTAAATCCAACCAAACTCATCATTTACACCTGCAGTACTTCCTCATAATCTGTCAGACGTCATTAAGGATGAAACTGAAAGCTGAACCTTTCCAGGCATGTTGAAGCTGCCGTTGCGTGGCGCTTTGACGTCGCTGAAGGACTGCTGATACTGAGGGGCGGCCGTCCACGGCGAGTGAGGAGACGGCGGACACAACATCATGAAAAACGGGTGATTGGGGCTCCGCTCCTCCAGGAAATGCAGCGACCGGTTGAACTAGAAACAACATACATGTAAGATATTTTTTTAAGACTTCAGGCAAACAAACAGGATTCACACAGCCCCAGACTGAAAGGGCTTATCTATGGAAAAACAACAATTGTGAGTGGAGTTTAGGACTAGTGTTAATCTGTTTCTGGGACACCTGCCCTAACTTAAATAATAACAGTGCAGCGGTTGGTGACGCAAGATTGCAGCCCAGGTTTCAGATATCAAGCAGTTCAGTCATGCGTCCCACAGAAATCGCATGACACACTGCTGAGTGGACAGGCTGGCGTGTGGAGGCGCATTCTAACGTTCAGAGTTACACAGAATTAAACTACGTGGCTTCTCAGTCAGTCATGAGGCGAACAGATTGTATCTCATTTTAAAACAGATATTATTTGGTAACCACATTGTGCTAACGGATGCATTTCCAACGTAAAACAAGTTTCATTCAAACAAAACAAAATTCCTTGGCTGTCACATTTAGCTGGAAGTAAATGCTTGCAATAATTGAGTGACTGTTGACGCCTCTAAAAATGAATGATTGATTTGACATGACATGCTCCAACTTGAAGTCAAATTTCTCTATTTACTTTCCTAATACTCATTCCTAGGCTTATTGTGAACTATTTATCAGGGCTACTTATTAAAAATAAAAAGATTGTCTTTGAAATGTTTTCAAAGGTTTTCAAAATCAATCGCATCCTAAATAAAAGTTTTTTGTTTAAATAATATATACGTGTGTACTGTGTATATTTATTATGTATATGTATATATTTTGAAAATATTTACATGTATATATTTATATTTATATAATTTATATTATATATAAATATATTTAATATACAAATATAACATATTTTCTTAAATATATACATGTATGTGTGTGTATTTATATATACATAATAAATATACACAGTACACACATATATTATGTAAACAAAAACTTTTATTTTGGACGCGATTAATCGTTTGACAGCACTAAAACTTTTTTATGAACATTTAATAACTTGCCTATTTCAGATTTTTAAAAAGCCCCTCCACAAAATAGATAATAAAATAGATTTATAATGTATTTATATATATGGGTCAAAGACGAAAAAGGGCTTAAGCATAAAAACAATACTGCTTTAAATTGTTGTTTTTCCAAAAAAAGAAAAATTAAAACGTTTTCTGTTTAATGTATTTTAGTTTTTCTGAGCAAAAAATAAATATCATACATTTTCCCCTGATTTACAGAAGACACCCACTAAAATGTCATTCAGTGTAACAATCTTGGCAGGCATATTTACAACAAAAATCTATTTATGACATATTAAAAAACTAATTATTTTCACCCCAAATACTAATTAGCTGGAATTTTACATTTTTAAATTTGCCACTATCCTAGGTTTTGCCCATTTGTCAGTAAGAATGTTTTACTCATTTAAAACCCAATCAAATTTAATATGCTCCCTTATTCTTTTATATATTTTAATATGTACACGTCAGAATAAGCATGTTTGAATTTTTACTTAACTATAAGTGTTACACTGAATGACAATGGAACATTATTTCAACCAAATTTGGACATTTCTTCTTCAAAATCTTATTTGAAACCTTAAAAGTAGATACTTTACTTGCATTTAATGTGCTTTCTATGGACATAAAATCAATTTCTTTTGATGTGGACATCTTAACGTCTTTGACCCAAACATATATTTACAGTGGGTACGGAAAGTATTCAGACCCCCTTAAATTTTTCACTCTTTGTTATATTGCAGCCATTTTCTAAAATCATTTAAGTTCATTTTTTCATTTTATTCCTCACTGAATATCCTGTTTAACCCAGAAGTGCATCACATTATGGAAGAAAAATTGGTTACAAATTTTGTTTTAATGTTGACTCTACACTTAAAAGCATTAAAAACTTACAACCAGGTCTGTGAGATAGTCCTTCTCATAGTTGTCTCCATGTTTTTCCTCTTTTCCATTCACAGACAGTGTGTAATTGTAATATTTAGAGTTTCCCACCTGCGGATACACAAATAAAAACAAAACACTGTTAGATCATACAACAAAATGAAATATGAAACCATTAAATGGTTCAAAACCAGATCTGCTTTTGCAGTGCAAGTTGTAATGAGACCGCCGCATAACATGACCATACTAAACCATGTATTCTGCACGAATGCTTGTCTATAGGTGACAGACATCATCAGATAAGGGAAGTATAGAACATATTGCAGCACATACAGCTTTTCCCTGCTGATCTGAATGTAAAAGGGAAGTAGTGTTGGAATGCTGCGTCAGTTCATGACTTACCAGTGCGTGCCATTGGTCCCAGCCAGGAGGCACATGATCCACACCGCCTGCGTCTTTACTTCCATACTGAGGACACAGAGAGGGATTTATGTGAGCGGTAAGAGGGAAAACAGTGACTGGGAGAACATGCCAGTCATATTTCCCCTCTACCTCAAAAATGATATTTTTTAGACTTTAGAAAAATAAGACACTATATTTTGTTGATGAAACGAATGCTATTTAAAGAATATTTTGCACTGACATTTTTTTACGAAAATTAAGTACCTTTCATCTCCCAATTCTCATTAAAATAATGCAAAGATTTAGACGTGTGCACCCATTTATGTTAAATATATATTATTTAGATTGCAAGTATTTATACATGGTAGCATTTGTTGTACTACTGCTGCTGACTGAAATAAAAAAAGACTTGTATTATAGTACATTTCTGATAATAATCAGAATTTGGGGGATAAATGTGCTTAATCATCATAAAAATAAAGTCACATGACAAAAATCTTAACGGTGCTAAAAGGGAACATATATATATATATATATATATATATATATATATTTCTTTTGTAGAATTTTGGGTAAAATGTGACCTGGACATGTTTTAGTGAACAACTGGAGATTTTTTGCATTGCAACATTATTTTTTTATGACAATTAAGCACGTTTTCGTCAACCAGTTGTCATTACTATAATGCAAAAAAATATATATTATATTTAAATAGTGAAGTATTTATATATGACTGCATTTGTTGTACTACTGCAGATTAAAAAAAACATGTATTGTATTGAATCATGGTAATCAGAAAACACAAAAAATATTCTATTCTATTCTTGAATTTGAGGTAACCAGGACAGGAAAGTAACTGAAAAGGAACATAAACATTAGCAGTATTTCAAACTTCTCAAACCTGTAGGAATGTTGTTGGCTTAGAACACTTCAGACATTTGAAAGATTGCAAATATTTAAACACGTTGTGCAGAGCTTCTGATATCATTGTACGCAAATTTCAAAAAGTGAACACCATGCAAACAGGTCAGTGATAGTGCATAGAGCACCAGGCGGGTCAAAAGCTCACCTGATTCAGGTATTTCCCGCCATAGAAGGTCTGGTAGCTCATCTTATTGAGGTAAACCGGAAAGGCAAAGGGCTCGGCCTCCTTCTGCCACGCCGTGCTGCTGCAGTTGCCAGAAATTGAGTTATTTCGGACCAAATGATTGTGTGGATATTTCCCAGTGATGATGCTGCTGCGACTGGGACAGCACAGAGGGGTGGCAGTGAACTAAACACAACAGGAAAGGAGAAACTTGTGATATTTGGTCAGAATCATTAAGGTCTTTGGTTTATGGCTGAGCACTCACAGCATTGGAGAAAGTTACACCAGCATCACCGATCAGTTCTTTGGTCTTCTTCATGGGTGTCTGTGGATGAAAAAAAACACTAAATGAGATGGCTATAGTGTCAGTATGATGCATCATCTGTAACAACTACAATGTCAACAGGATGTATGATTTCACACACTCATTTGTACCTAATGACTTGTTCCTGAACTTGATTCTTAAAACAACAGCTGCTTCAATATGACTTTAACTGTACAATAAATGCTACCATGTATAAAAACTTTTGAATTTAAATAATGCATATATATATATATATATTATATGTACATACAGTGGGTACGGAAAGTATTCAGACCCTCTTAAATTTTTCACTCTTTGTTATATTGCAGCCATTTGCTAAAATCATTTAAGTTATTTTTTTTTCCTCATTAATGTACACACAGCACCCCATATTGACAGAAAAACACAGAATTGTTGACATTTTTGCAGATTTATTAAAAAAGAAAAACTGAAATATCACATGGTCCTAAGTATTCAGACCCTTTGCTCAGTATTTAGTAGAAGCACCCTTTTGATCTAATACAGCCATGAGTCTTTTTGGGAAAGATGCAACAAGTTTTTCACACCTGGATTTGGGGATCCTCTGCCATTCCTCCTTGCAGATCCTCTCCAGTTCTGTCAGGTTGGATGGTAAACGTTGGTGGACAGCCATTTTTAGGTCTATCCAGAGATGCTCAATTGGGTTTAAGTCAGGGCTCTGGCTGGGCCATTCAAGAACAGTCACAGAGTTGTTGTGAAGCCACTCCTTCATTATTTTAGCTGTGTGCTTAGGGTCATTGTCTTGTTGGAAGATAAACCTTCGGCCCAGTCTGAGGTCCTGAACACTCTGGAGAAGGTTTTCGTCCAGGAAATCCCTGTACTTGGCCGCATTCATCTTTCCCTCAATTCCAACCAGTCGTCCTGTCCCTGCAGCTGAAAAACACCCCCACAGCATGATGCTGCCACCACCATGCTTCACTGTTGGGACTGTATTGGACAGGTGATGAGCAGTGCCTGGTTTTCTCCACACATACCACTTAGAATTAAAAAAAGTTCTATCTTGGTCTAACCAGAGAATCTTATTTCTCACCATCTCACAACTCCATGCGGGCTTTCATGTGTCTCGCACTGAGGAGAGGCTTCCGTCGGGCCACTCTGCCATAAAGCCCCGACTGGTGGAGGGCTGCAGTGATGGTTGACTTTCTACAACTTTCTCCCATCTCCCGACTGCATCTCTGGAGCTCAGCCACACTGATCTTTGGGTTCTTCTTTACCTCTCTCACCAAGGCTCTTCTCCCCCGATAGCTCAGTTTGGCCAGACGGCCAGCTCTAGGAAGGGTTCTGGTCATCCCAAACGTCTTCCATTTAAGGAATGGAGGCCACTGTGCTCTTGGGAACCTTAAGTACAGCAGATTTTTTTTTTGTAACCTTGGCCAGATCTGTGCCTTGTATGTAATATATATAATAATAATACAAATATATATATATTTATAATTATTTAATAAATATATAATATATAACAATCTAACAAATCTTTTTGCATTATCAGAATGAGAAATGGGAGATTAAATATGCTTAATTTTCGTGAAAAAATTTGTGTGCATATATATATATATAGAGAGAGAGAGAGAGAGAGAGAGAGAGAGAGAGTTGTTGTCTTTACTTTGGTATTTTTGGAAGTTCACTGATGTACTGTCTCAATAAAATCATATTTTAAATATATATAAGCAGAAAAATGAATGCAAAATTCCCTAGTATAACAAATGCTACAATGTATAAATACTTTTGAATTTAAATAATACATTTGAATATATTTACATTTAGTCATTTAGCAGACGCTTTTATCCAAAGCGACTCAAAAATGAGGACACTAGAAGCAATCAAAACATCAAAACTAGCAATAATATGAAAGTGCTGTGACAAGTCTCAGTTAGTCTAACGCAATACAAATAGCAAGGTTTTTTTTTTTTTTTTTTCAAATAAAGAAAAACAAGTAAAAAGAATAGAGAATGCTAGTGTTAGAGGGTCAGTTTTGATAATAAATAAAAAGTAAACAAGAAGATAGAATAGAAAAAGAATAGAGAATGCTATAGTGTCAGTATGATATATATTTAACATCATTTGCTAGATTTTTGCATTATCAGAATGAGAACTGGGAAATTAAATGTGCTTGATTTTCATGATAAAATGTCACAATGTAAACAAAAAAAATCCTATAATAGCCTTCCTTGCATCAACAATATAATTTCTTAAATTTGTTCTGTTTGAATTTGAGGTGAATATATATACATATACACATATACATTGTGTGTGTGTGTGTGTGTGTGTGTGTGTACTGGTTTATATATT